TATATGAAGAAAAAGAGAGAAAGAGAGTGAGTGAAGGTTTAGTAGGTTTGTTTGTTCGTGTGTTATACGTATAGGATAAAAGTAGTATAAACAAAATATCCCCATGACAATAGACAATAAACAATAGTTCATGCGCCTTAACCCTAGGGCTATCACAGATCAATTACATGGTACAAATGTTAACCGATTTCTAATTGATTTGAACAACCTTAGAGTATATATAGAACACTATAAAGTATAAACAACACCAGTGAAATCATTACCCCTACCACTGCATGTTAATTGAATACAAAGTCTAGCTTCAATTTTCTTTAACAAGTGTACAAGTAAGTTATGCTCGAAACGACATATATCACACTATATATATACATATATATATATAGTTAATTTAACAGAATATTTTATATGAAAAATGAACAGCTGTTGGAACTGAGTTTGACCAACGGTAAGAAGATATCATAGGAAGGAGTCATTCCCCTTTCATCGATCCCCAAAGGTCAATGACTCCCTACTCGGATGTGACTTCCCCAGATTCAGTTTATCTATATCTATAAATCATATAATATATTGGAAAAAATGGCAATTTTCTGTCAACATATAATCTTTGCTTTTTGTATGTTGTCCGAACAACAAAATCAATGCTAATGTTGTGCTTATATATTACATGCCATTAATCCTCTAGATTTGCAAAGAATTTGACTGGAATAAAGTGATTAGAACCATTAGGGCAGCATCATCATACAGAAGTATAAGGGAAAAAACAGGAACCCTAATTAAAGAACATGTTTTTTTAGGTGAAAGGTGATTTATATTAATAATATAATGTATACAATTAAAAGACATGCTCTTCATCATATATATATATATAATATAATATATACAATTAAAAGACATGTTCTTCAACATATATATATATATATATATATATGGGGGTGTGTGGGTGTTTCTAGGGTTTACTTCACCATAGACTTAAAATCTGCCTCTTTCGGTAATTAATAAGTAGAAACAACTACATATACATGCATATAAGCATAAAAAGGCAAGATTTTAGAAGCGATTAGCAAGTAAATCTAAAGATCTACCATAAATCCCTGCAACTTTTAGCAAGATTTTCATGAGAAATTTTTTTTTTTTAATAAAGATCACGGAAAACGTACTGAATACCTTAAATTAAATAACAGCGTCATTAAAGAGATTGAGGAGGGGTATTAAAGAAAACCCTAATTAGGGTTTTATCCAAACGAAGAAGAAAACAGCTTTAAACCCAACAAAAAAAATGGAGACAGTGCAATAATTACCAAGAATCGGTGGAGTACTCGAACAATTTCCCTTTATGGGAGAAGACAATAAGAGCAACTTCGGCATCGCAAAGAACAGAGATCTCGTGAGCCTTCTTCAAAAGACCCGCTCTCCTTTTGGAGAACGTCACCTGTCTATTGATCTTATTCTCTATCCTCTTCAACTGAACCCTTCCCCTTCCCATCTCTCTCTCTCCCCCCAAAAAAAAACCCTAAAACACGCAATCTTTTTTTGCCCTACTTGCTCTAAAAGAACCAAACAAACAAGCCCCAAGAAGAAGCGGAAACTACAAGAGAAATGGGAGAGAGAGAGAGAGAGAGAGAGAGAGAGAGAGAGAGAGAGAGATCAGGTCATGTGATCCAAATAGGGAAGTATTTCTCTTTTCTTTCTTAAATCTTTGATGTTGCAGTGTTTTTGGGAGCTCGTTTCAATTCTTTATTTATGGAGAATTCGGGAAAGGCGGTTTTAGGGAAAAATGAAAGCCGGTTTTGGTTGGAGACCAGAGCGGTTTTTTAAGGATGTGCTGTCGACTTCTCATTGGTCCAATGTACTTTCTTACATTGGGTATGGTCCACTTATTCTGTAATGTAAAAATTTTTAATATATATATATATATATATATATATTAATTTCGGTCCCGTGAAGAGGAATTGGGTCAGTGAGTGACAAGTAACGTTGTACGGACTACGGAGCTCCCCCAAGTGTCACCTTCTCTCAGTTGAACCCCCGAAGTAATTCAAAGCAAACAGTAATTAAATTATAATTAGACCATTCTTTTTTTTTTTTTGTTAAATTAGACCATTCTTGCTACCTCTAAAAAAATAAAATTTCTTTCATTGTGCATATATAATTGCATGAAAAATGAAAAAAAAAATAGATGTTACTGTAAAGTTACAAGTGAATATTATTGTGTAAATATTAAATAGTACATATTGGGTTCCCAATTTGCTTAAATGCGAAAATCGATTGATACATCAATATATATATATATATTTTTTATATATACTTTTAGAGTTTTGACTATATACATAAATAAAAATTTCCTAAAATAGGTTGTTGCAGCAAAAAGTAGTTAATATAAATTTACAAGTGATACTACAAAAAAAATCATCGAATTCCAATAAATCTGTCCATTGAAAATTTTTCAACGGATTTTTAACGACGATTTCCGTTAAAATTTCATTGAAATTTCTAATGGATATCCGTTGTAAATGACCGTTGGAAATTTTTAACAGAATTTTCAACGTATTCAATTGAAAACCGAAATTATTATGAGTGATTATGAAATAACTTGTTGGTCTTCTTTTTAAAATTTTTTAAATGAAAAATATTATTCTAATTTTAGATTCAAATGATGCTTTTTTTATTTTAAAAAAATATGTTGCGTCACGTTTTATGTTTAAATATTTCCCATAAAATTATTGGTTGGACTATTAAAAAAACTCAGTTTGATGGGCTCTTTTAGCCTTTACCCTATGTATTTAATACGAAATTTCAAAATAGAATAAATCGTGGCCCAACATCAATGCCCCATAAAGAGGGTTTAGTAAGCACTGTAGAATTACAGGGCCTTTGGTACAGCTCATATATATATATATACACACGCAAATAAATGCTTGTATATGTATATTTATATCTTTGCTAAATAGCACTTGCAAGTTTCAATCTACTGTTTTCCCAGAAAAATATCAATTCTACATCATTTATTTCAACCCACAAGTGCCGTGATTAAATAGAAAGCAAAAAAATATAACTCTATATGTATAATTTTATATAATCACCATAATACAGAAATGGAATCCATTGTTTTATTTAATGCATGAAAGCATAATATTCTTGCAAATCGCAATATCACCGGCAAGAATTGGATACTTTTAATCTCTTTTACGTACGTTGCGTGGGTCCAAAAGGGTTGAGATGATATATATATATATATATATACATAAAATGTTAAAACAGTAAAAAAAAACCATTTTATTGCCATATATATATATGTATATATTAATGTATATGTATATGTATATGTATATGTAGGGTTTAAAGTAATAAGCAACAAAAGGAAAAGAGCCAAAACACCAAATAGAGCAAAACTAAAAGAATCTAAATTCGTGGGTCGTGGCCTCATGCACACACCGTCTAATCGAATAATATCCATTCCATTTTATTTCCTCAAATTTTATCTCCACCCTTCGTTCAAATTTATTCGCAATAAAGTTGACAACAACTACTCAACTTGATGCCTTTTTCATGCAATGTCCCTTTGTACTTGTGTGGGTTCGTTATCATATCACTACAAAAAAACCTGCATATAGCGACGGAAATTTCCGTCGCACAGAAAATTGCGACGGAATGTGACGATTTTACGACAGAATGTGAAAAAAAATTATCCGTCACAAACAGTCGCAAAATCCATTGCAATTTGCTACGGTTTGCGACGGATAATTCTGTCACAACAAAGAAATAGATGATTTGCGACGGAAAATAAAAATTGCGACGGATTGCGACGGAATATTCCGTCGCAATGTATTTGGTTTCGTTTTTCGACGAAATTTTTTGAATTTTGGGCGCGTAAATTAATTTCATTTTGTGATGGATTGCGACGGAAAATTCCGTCGTAAAACGCAATATAAAACCACGAGTCGTCTTCTTCATCAGACTTCAAAAATTTTCGAAAAAAAAAATCGAAATTTTTTTTCTAAATCCTCCAAAGATCGCCAAATTTCTCCCATAAGGTAATATATATGTATTTATATATATATATGTGTGTGTTTGATGTATTTGTGTGCGTTTATGTATGTGTATGTGTGTGTAAGTGAATGTGTATATATATGTGTGAATGTGTATGTGTGTGTTTATATATGTGTGTAAGTGAATGTGTATGTATGTGTGAATGTGTATGTGTGTGTGTTTATGTATGTGTATGTGTATATATATGTGAATGTGAATATATATGTGTTTGTATATGTGATTGTATGTGTATATGTGTGTGTTTATATGTATGTGTATGTGTTTGTGAAATGTATATGTGTATGAGTATTTATATATGTGTATATATGTGTATATGTGTATATGTGTGTTTGTGTATATAAAAATATGTGTATATATATATATGTATGTATGTGTATGTATATTTGTATGTGTATGAATGTATGTATATGTGAAAAAATATATATGTATGTGTATATATAGTATATAATTTTTTTATTTTTTTAAAAAATTTTTAAAACATTTGCGACGGAATGCGACGGAATTTTTTCCGTCGCAAATTATCCGTCACTTTCCGTCGTAAAACGCAGATTTTTTCCGTCGCACCTTTGCGACGGATTAACGACCGTTATACGTTTGCGACAGCGTTATACCGACGGAAATAAGTCCGTCGCATTCCGTCGCAAATTCTTAATTGCGACGGATTTCCTTTATATTTGCGACGGATTTTTCCGTCGCTATATAACTGTTTTTTTGTAGTGTATATATCATGTATGTGTACATATACACATATACACGATATATACATGTCTCTGTATTTTTTTTTGTAACCGGATATCATATGCCGAGATTCAAACTAATCTCGAGATCGAAAACAAGTCATATGATTAGAATATACGCTTCTCTCCCCAATTTAAAGTTTGAATTCAGATCGAGACGGACGTTTTGCGTCTCCGTTTCACATGTTGAATTATCCAAATTGGGTACATGTCTCTATATTGACATGTATTTGTATAGGTAATATGGAATATATTAGAATATGTAAACACACATATATATATATATATATATACACACCCACATATCAAGCCAAACCACATACAATACGTATTAAATAATAGGTATGAGTTAATTACATAAAAAGGATAAAATGTTTTATCTTAAACCCTTTTACCAATATACAATACGAGTTGCTACAAATTACAATATAATCAACACGTTATGTACAATACCATGTATTTCAGATTTTTTTTTTTTACCCCAGTATTCTAGGTTTATATATTATTAGTTTTACGGCCTAATAAGATAGGGCAATAATTAAATCCGGTCGAGAAAATGCGACATGAATGATTGTGCCAATGGATTAATCGTGTGTAAAATGTTAAGAAAATGCAAGACAAGACCAAGCTAAAGTCATGAAATGTAATAATAATCTTTTTTTTTTGATAATCAATAATCTTTTATTAAAGGATTATATATATATATATATATATATATACCTTGTAGTGTCTATCTAAGCAAAACCACATACACAAAAACATAGGATTAATTGAAATCGATGCAATCTATGACGGACAAAGACCGTAAGACAAGGGAATGGTGATGACGTGGCATATCATACTGTCACGCAAAATGAATTGAATCATGGGGTACCATAGCCCTTTCCTTAGGTCTCTATCGAGATGCAAGTTGGGTCCGGCCACATCAATTGTCTATTTAATGTTCACATCATTAGCTTTTTAGACCCACATATACATGCATACATACGCATGCATACGTACATACATACATACGTATGTGCACACACGCGCGTGTGACGTACGGTATATATACCTTGTTTTTCTGATCGTGTAGATCTATACATATATCATATGGGTGCCGTTGTGTGTGTGTGTGTGTATACCGTTGTGTGTGTACCGTATTCGTGAGGGAACATGGTATAATGTGTGTGTGTGTGTGTATTAATGGGTTGGAAACATTGAAAAATATTATGATCCAACAAAATAATCTGAATCTAGTAATCCAGTCCATGATAATTGATATATATATATATATATATATATATATATATATATATATA